GCTAGGTGCATTTATTCAACTGACATGACCGTGTTTATCGATTTTTTGTTGGTTACATTTGCATTTTGAAGGTTACATTTGCGTCAAACATTACTTGCTGCATTAAATATCAAATTTTCAAGTTATGTTTGTCAATTTTTGGCTGGTGACATTCATCTTATGATGGTTACATTTGCGTCAAACATCGCTAGGTGCATTTATTCAACTGACATGACCGTGTTTATCGATTTTTTGTTGGTTACATTTGCATTTTGAAGGTTACATTTGCGTCAAACATTACTTGCTGCATTAAATATCAAATTTTCAAGTTATGTTTGTCAATTTTTGGCTGGTTACATTCATCTTATGACGGTTACATTTGCGTCAAACATCGCTAGGTGCATTTATTCAACTGACATGACCGTGTTTATCGATTTTTTGTTGGTTACATTTGCATTTTGAAGGTTACATTTGCATCAAACATTACTTGGCGCATTTAATATCAATTTTTCAAGTTATGTTTGTCAATTTTTGGCTGGTTACATTCATCTTATGACGGTTACATTTGCGTCAAACATCGCTAGGTGCATTTATTCAACTGACATGACCGTGTTTATCGATTTTTGGTTGGTTACATTTGCATTTTGAAGGTTACATTTGCATCAAACATTACTTGGCGCATTTAATATCAATTTTTCAAGTTATGTTTGTCAATTTTTGGCTGGTTACATTCATCTTATGACGGTTACATTTGCGTCAAACATCGCTAGGTGCATTTATTCAACTGACATGACCGTGTTTATCGATTTTTGGTTGGTTACATTTGCATTTTGAAGGTTACATTTGCGTCAAACATTACTTGCCGCATTTAATATCAATTTTTCAAGTTATGTTTGTCAATTTTTGGCTGGTTACATTCATCTTATGACGGTTACATTTGCGTCAAACATCGCTAGGTGCATTTATTCAACTGACATGACCGTGTTTATCGATTTTTTGTTGGTTACATTTGCATTTTGAAGGTTACATTTGCGTCAAACATTACTTGGCGCATTCAATATCAATTTTTCAAGTTATGTTTGTCAATTTTTGGCTGGTTAAATTCATCTTATGACGGTTACATTTGCATCAAACATCCCTAGGTGCATTTATTCAACTGACATGACCGTATTTATCGATTTTTGGTTGGTTACATTTGCATTTTGAAGGTTACATTTGCGTCAAACATTACTTGCCGCATTAAATATCAATTTTTCAAGTTATATTCATCAATTTTTGGCTGGTTACATTCATGTTATGACGGTTATATTTGCGTCAAACATCACTAGGTGCATTTATTTCCCTGACATGATCGTGTTTATCGATTTTTGGTAGGTTACATTTGCATTTTAGAGGTTACATTTGCGTCAAACATCACTTGCCGCATTAAATATCAATTTTTCAAGTTATGTTCATCAATTTTTGACTGGTTACATTCATCCTATGACGGTTACATTTGCGTCAAACATCACTAGGTGCATTTATTTAACTCACATGACTGTGTTTATCGATTTTTTGGTTGGTTATATTTGCATTTTCAAGGTTACATTTGCGTCAAACATTACTTGCCGCATCAAATATCAATTTTTCAAGTTAAATTCATCAATTTTTGGCTGGTTACATTCATCTTATGCCGGTTACATTTGCGTCAAACATCACGAAGTGTATTTATTCAACTGACATGACCGTGTTTATCGATTTTTGGTTGGTTACATTTGCATTTTGAAGGTTACATTTGCATCAAACATGACTTGCCGCATTCGATATCAATTTTTCAAGTCATATTCATCAATTTTTGGCTGGTGACATTCATCTTATGATGGTTACATTTGCGTCAAACATCGCTAGGTGCATTTATTCAACTGACATGACCGTGTTTATCGATTTTTTGTTGGTTACATTTGCATTTTGAAGGTTACATTTGCGTCAAACATTACTTGCTGCATTAAATATCAAATTTTCAAGTTATGTTTGTCAATTTTTGGCTGGTGACATTCATCTTATGATGGTTACATTTGCGTCAAACATCGCTAGGTGCATTTATTCAACTGACATGACCGTGTTTATCGATTTTTTGTTGGTTACATTTGCATTTTGAAGGTTACATTTGCATCAAACATTACTTGGCGCATTCAATATCAATTTTTCAAGTTATGTTTGTCAATTTTTGGCTGGTTACATTCATCTTATGACGGTTACATTTGCGTCAAACATCCCTAGGTGCATTTATTCAACTGACATGACCGTATTTCTCGATTTTTGGTTGGTTACATTTGCATTTTGAAGGTTACATTTGCGTCAAACATTACTTGCCGCATTAAATATCAAATTTTCAAGTTATGTTTGTCAATTTTTGGCTGGTTACATTCATCTTATGACGGTTACATTTGCGTCAAACATCGCTAGGTGCATTTATTCAACTGACATGACCGTGTTTATCGATTTTTTGTTGGTTACATTTGCATTTTGAAGGTTACATTTGCATCAAACATTACTTGGCGCATTCAATATCAATTTTTCAAGTTATGTTTGTCAATTTTTGGCTGGTTACATTCATCTTATGACGGTTACATTTGCGTCAAACATCCCTAGGTGCATTTATTCAACTGACATGACCGTATTTATCGATTTTTGGTTGGTTACATTTGCATTTTGAAGGTTACATTTGCGTCAAACATTACTTGCCGCATTAAATATCAATTTTTCAAGTTATATTCATCAATTTTTGGCTGGTTACATTCATGTTATGACGGTTACATTTGCGTCAAACATCACTAGGTGCATTTATTTCCCTGACATGATCGTGTTTATCGATTTTTGGTAGGTTACATTTGCATTTTAGAGGTTACATTTGCGTCAAACATCACTTGCCGCATTAAATATCAATTTTTCAAGTTATGTTCATCAATTTTTGACTGGTTACATTCATGTTATGTCGGTTACATTTGCGTCAAACATCACTAGGTGCATTTATTAAACTCACATGACCGTGTTTATCGATTTTTGGTTGGTTACATTTGCATTTTGAAGGTTACATTTGCGTCAAACATGACTTGCCGCATTTAATATCAATTTTTCAAGTTATGTTTGTCAATTTTTGGCTGGTTACATTCAGCTTATGACGGTTACATTTGCGTCAAACATCGCTAGGTGCATTTATTCAACTGACATGACCGTGTTTATCGATTTTTGGCTGGTTACATTTGCATTTTGAAGGTTAAATTTGCGTCAAACATTACTTGCCGCATTAAATATCAATTTTTCAAGTTATGTTCATCAATTTTTGGCTGGTTACATTCATCTTATGACGGTTACATTTGCGTCAAACATCACTAGGTGCATTTATTCAACTCATATGACCGTGTTTATCGATTTTTGGCTGGTTACATTTGCATTTTGAAGGTTACATTTGCGTCAAACATTACTTGCTGCATTAAATATCAATTTTTCAAGTTATATTCATCAATTTTTGGCTGGTTACATTCATCTTATGACGGTTACATTTGCGTCAAACATCACTAGGTGCATTTATTCAACTCATATGACCGTGTTTATCGATTTTTGGCTGGTTACATTTGCATTTTGAAGGTTACATTTGCGTCAAACATTACTTGCCGCATTTAATATCAATTTTTCAAGTTATGTTTGTCAATTTTTGGCTGGTTACATTCATCTTATGACGGTTACATTTGCGTCAAACATCACTAGGTGCATTTATTCAACTCATATGACCGTGTTTATCGATTTTTGGCTGGTTACATTTGCATTTTGAAGGTTACATTTGCGTCAAACATTACTTGCCGCATTAAATATCAATTTTTCAAGTTATATTCATCAATTTTTGGCTGGTTACATTCATGTTATGTCGGTTACATTTGCGTCAAACATCACTAGGTGCATTTATTAAACTCACATGACCGTGTTTATCGATTTTTGGTTGGTTACATTTGCATTTTGAAGGTTACATTTGCGTCAAACATTACTTGCCGCATTTAATATCAATTTTTCAAGTTATGTTTGTCAATTTTTGGCTGGTTACATTCATCTTATGACGGTTACATTTGCGTCAAACATCGCTAGGTGCATTTATTCAACTGACATGACCGTGTTTATCGATTTTTTGTTGGTTACATTTGCATTTTGAAGGTTACATTTGCGTCAAACATTACTTGGCGCATTCAATATCAATTTTTCAAGTTATGTTTGTCAATTTTTGGCTGGTTACATTCATCTTATGACGGTTACATTTGCGTCAAACATCCCTAGGTGCATTTATTCAACTGACATGACCGTATTTATCGATTTTTGGTTGGTTACATTTGCATTTTGAAGGTTACATTTGCGTCAAAGATTACTTGCCGCATTAAATATCAATTTTTCAAGTTATATTCATCAATTTTTGGCTGGTTACATTCATGTTATGACGGTTACATTTGCGTCAAACATCACTAGGTGCATTTATTTCCCTGACATGATCGTGTTTATCGATTTTTGGTAGGTTACATTTGCATTTTAGAGGTTACATTTGCGTCAAACATCACTTGCCGCATTAAATATCAATTTTTCAAGTTATGTTCATCAATTTTTGACTGGTTACATTCATCCTATGACGGTTACATTTGCGTCAAACATCACTAGGTGCATTTATTTAACTCACATGACTGTGTTTATCGATTTTTGGTTGGTTACATTTGCATTTTGAAGGTTACATTTGCGTCAAACATTACTTGCCGCATCAAATATCAATTTTTCAAGTTATATTCATCAATTTTTGGTTGGTTACATTCATCTTATGACGGTTACATTTGCGTCAAACATCACTAGGTGCATTTATTCAACTCATATGACCGTTTTTAACGATTTTTTGCTGGTTACATTTACATTTTGAAGGTTACATTTGCGTCATACACTACGTACTATACTCAATATCATTCCTTGATGGTTACATTTGCGTCAAACACCACATTTATTCAATTTCTTACTTCTATGCGCCTTGTCGCCGGGATCCCGTCTCAAGACGACGCGTTTCTGAGCGGCCGACGCCGATCCCGAATCGACGTCGTGGATCACGATTCGGATCGCTTCTGCGTCGACCGACGCCTGACGTCTGGGCGTGGCTTCGAGGTCCTCGAGGGCGGGCGTCGGTCTAGGCGTCGGCGGCACCGCCGCCGTTCTCAGACCGCCGATGTCAGGCCTGAAGCAATTTATGCAATGTTGCCAAGAGTTCAAAAATGTTCCAAAAAAAAGTTTCAACTTACAAATAGGAGCCACGCCTTCTGCTCCTCCGATCGTCATCGAGGGCCAAAGTTGGGGCCGTTTCGGGACTGGGGGGGCTCGAAGGTTCCTGGGCCGGGATTCTAAAGGAGGCCCGACGTCCCGTCGTTGGCTGAGTTACCGTACTGAGGCCGGGAACTACTGTAATTCATAAAAATCAATGTTTGTTTGTTTGTTTGTATGTTTGCGGCTTATGCGCTCCTACACCACTTATCCGATTACGATGGAACTTTGGTAGGTTGTTGTGGCTATCCCAAGGAAGGTTTCTGATAGGTTATGTGTTGGTTACACAGCTTATAACTCAAGAACGGCTGGACTGATTGCCTTGAAATTTATACTACGTAATTTTTACATAAAGGGAAGTGACATAGGCTAGTTTTTATCCAGGAAAAATGGACATTTAAGGTAAAATTTACATAACTACTTTTAGGTAAACAATACATAGTATTTACCTGAAAAGACGTCGTATGCCGACGCCCTTCTGGGCATAGGCGGCGGTAGATTTAAGCCAGCGTCGGGGGCGGCGTCGGGCAACAGCGCCGCCTTTACTTCGTCGTCGTAGCTGTGCTGGCGGGCGACTCGCGACGCCCTCCGCGACCGCGGAATCTGAGGCAGGACGTCGGACACGACTTTGGGCGGACTGTTGGACCGCGAGCCGGCCCTCGATCGGCCGCCGCCGCCCCGGGTCCAATCAGGATCGGGGGTTTTCGAGCCTCCGCCCCCTTTCAGCTGAAAAAGAAATTTACTCGAGTTGTATGTCGTTTTCGAGGTTTTCGGTTTCAAGGATTCCGAATTTGACATTAGTTTTTGTCTATCTCGATTTTTTTTTGTGAAAATTCAAGTTAGACAAAAAATAACATCAAATTCGGAATCCTTGACCTCGAAAACCTCGAAAACGACATACAACTCGCTTTTTTCCGAAACTCGCAACATGTTGCGAATTTCGGAAAAAATCAAGCACTATGTCGTTTTCGAGGTTTTCGGGGTCAAGGATTCCGAATTTGATGTTATTTTTTGTCTATCCTATTTTTTTTTTTGTAAAAATTTAAGTTGGACAAAAAATAACATCAAATTCGGAATCCTCGACCCCGAAAACCTAGAAAACGACATACTACTCGATTTTTTCCGAATTTCGCAACAAATTCGCAACATGTTGCGAAATTTCCAAAATTTCGGAAATGTTGCGAATTTCGGAAAAAATCGAGCAGTATGTCGTTTCCGAGGTTTTCGAGGTCAAGGATTTCGAATTTGACATTAGTTTTTGTCTATCTCGATTTTTTTTTAAAAAAAATTCAAGTTAGACAAAAAATAACATCAAATTCGGAATCCTCGACCTCGAAAACCTAGAAAACGACATACAACTCGATTTTTTCCGAAATTCGCAACATTTCCGAAATTTTGGAAATTTCGGAACATGTTGCGAATTTCGGAAAAAATCGAGTTGTATGTCGTTTTTGAGGTTTTCGGGGTCAAGGATTCCGAATTTGACATTAGTTTTTGTCTATCTCGATTTTTTTTGTAAAAATTCTAGTTAGACAAAAAATAACGTCAAAATCGGAATCCTCGACCTCGAAAACCTAGAAAACGACATACAACTCGATTTTTTCCGAAATTCGCAACAAATTCGCAACATGTTGCGAATTTCGGAAAAAATCGAGTTGTATGTCGTTTTCGAGGTTTTCGGGGTCAAGGATTCCGAATTTGACATTATTTTTTGTCTATCTTAATTTTTTACACAAAAAACTTACCTTTTCGAGTTCTTTGAGCGAAGCAGGGGACACATCTGAATGTCTTCTGAGTTCCGGACTCCTGGGCGGGGCCAACCCAGTGCCACCGACACTCAGAAGCCGCTCAGAACCGAGCCGAGCCTCAGAATGTCGCCGCTGCAGCTCCTGCAACGGAATCTCCAATAGACTTTCATTAGAATCCTGAGTAACAATCGCCGCTCTGGATTGGATTTTCCGCCGGCATACGCTGCACGTCCAATCGGCCGGATTCTCTTTTTCGGCCAGTTTACTGTAGCTGGCGCAATCTTCGCAAACTTTCTGAGTACAAGTCGCGCAAGTTCGGCTGAAATCGTCCGGTTTGAACGATTTCAAACAGACTCGGCAAGATCCGGCTCGGCTCGGCGGTTTTCCCGGTTCGGTTTTTTTTTCCGCCGCCACTGGTTGTACTATAGGTTTTTCTTGGTCGGCACTTGGCGTTAGATCCGGTATTAGGGACGGCCGCGGACCCATTTTGGTCGCCACTGGAACCAAATTTCATTGTTTTTTTTTTTGACATTTCATAATTTGACAGATCCGGTGATTTTTCTAGTGAAATAAAAAAAAAGAGACAGACTTACCTTTGTCTTGAGCTGTGAGCAACGAAGACGACAACGTTTGTCGTAATTTTCCGAAAGCGGTTCCGCCTTCGGGCGGTTCCGTAGCGGAATTTTGCGGACCCGGTTCCGCCGCCACCATCTGGAACAAAAAATAGAATTTTCTTTAAATTCATCAAAACTCGTTGGAACAAATTGAAAACTCGTTAGAAAAAAAATTTAAATTGTTTCAAAAAATTCTGGAACATTCTAGAATGTGTTTTTCAACGAGTTTTTAATTTATTCCAACGACTTCTAAGAATTTTTAGAAATATTCTATAATTTTTTGGAACATTCTAGAACGTTCCAAAACATTTTACAACATTCCGAACAACTTAATTCCGAGTTGAAACTTTTTTTTTTTGGAACATTCTAGAGCGTTCTAGAATTTTTTGAAACAATCTAAATTTTTTTCAACGAGTTTTTAATTTGTTCCAACAACTTCTAAAAATTTTTAGAAATATTCTAAAATTTTTTGGAAAATTCTAGAACGTTCCAAAATATTTTTCAACTCTGCAACATTTCGAACAACTTAATTTCGAGTTGAAACTTTTTTTTTTGGAACATTCTAGAACATTCCAGAATTTTTTGAAACAAACTAAATTTTTTTCAACGAGTTTTTGATTTGTTCCAACGATTTCTAAAAATTTCCAGAAACATTCTAAAATTTTTTTGAACATTCTAGAACCTTCCAAAACATTTTTTCAACTCTTTGCGGCTTTCCGAACAACGTAATTTTGAGTTCATACATTTTTTTTTTTGGAACATTCTAGAACGTTCCAGAATTTTTTTGAAACAATCTAAATTTTTTCCAACGAGTATTAAATTTGTTTCAACGAGTTCGAGTTGAAACTTTTTTTTGGAACATTCTAGAACGTTCCAGAATTTTTTGAAACAATCTAAATTTTTTCCAACGAGTATTAAATTTGTTTTTTAGAAACATTTCAAAATTTTTTGGAACATTCTAGAACGTTTCAAATTTTTTTTGAAACAATCTAAATTTTTTTCAACGAGTTATAAGACTGTTCCAACGATTTCTGAGAATTTTTAGAAGCATTCTAGAATTTTTTGGAACATTCTAAAACGTTCCAGAATTTTTTGAAACAATCTAAATTTTTTACCATAGTAGCTTCAACCACCATAGTTGGTGCATAACGATTATTCGACTGTCAATGTCAAAAAAATTTGACAGATGTCAACGTTAACAAAGTTTTTTTATGATTAAAAAAAATTTACGATGGTCGGACCACCCAAAAACCCTTACAAGAAAATTATTGACATTGACATACGTCAAAAAATTACATCGTGATAAGGTCTTTTTTTGTGATTTGTCAAATTTGAAAGACGCACTCGGATAGAATTTTTGACGCCTGACATTTTGACAGATGTCACCTGTTAAATCTGACACATACTTTTTACTACCAACGAAAAATGTGATTTTTTTGACACATATGTCAAATTTCGATGACGCGATCGAGTATAAGTTTTGTCGCTCGACACTTGGTTAACAACAATAGATGTCATCTGTCATATCATATCATATCCGCTTGTCATATTTTTGACGTTGACAGCCGTCAAAATAGATGATAAATTTTTGTAGGGTTTGTCAGTAAAAATTGTTACTCGCTGGCCTGATTTGACATCATCTGTCAAATTTTTTTTGTTCCAACGAGTACTGAGAATTTTCGGGAATTTTTTGGAACATTCTGAAACATTCCAGAATTTTTTTCAACGAGTTTTCAATCTGTTTCAACGAGTTCTGAGAATTAATTCTAGAACATTTCAGAATTTTTTGGAACATTCTAGAACGTTCCAGAACTTTTTGAAACGATTCAAATTTTTTTCCAACGAGTTTCGACCATTAAGTTCTGAGAGTTTTTAAGAATATGCTAGAACATTTCAGATTTTTTTGGAACATTTTAGAATGTTCCAGAATTTTTTGAAACGATCTAAATTTTTTTCCAACGAGTTTTCAATCTGTTTCAACGAGTTCTGAGAATTTTTAGAAACATTTTAAAATCTTTTGGAACATTCTAGAACGTTCCAAAATTTTTAGAAACAATCTAAATCTTTTTCAACGAGTTTTTAATTTATTTCAACAATTTCTAAGAATTTTTAGAACTATTCTAGAATTTTTTGGAACATTTTAGAACGTTCCAAAACATTTTTTCACTCTGCAACATTCCGAAGAACCTAATTTCGAGTTGAAACATTTTTTTGGAACATTTTAGAACGTTTCAGAATTTTTTAAAACAATCTAATTTTTTTGCAATGAGTTTTCAATTTGTTCCAATGACTTCTAAGAATTTTTAAAAATAGTCTAGAATTTTTTGGAACATTCTAGAACCTTCCAAAACATTTTCTCAACTCTTTGCAGCTTTCCGAACAACGTAATTTCGAGTTGAAACTTTTTTTTGGAACATTCTAGAATGTTCCAGAATTTTTTGAAACAATCTAAATTTTTTCCAACGAGTATTAAATTTGTTTCAACGACTTCTGAGAATTTTTAGGAATATTTCAGAATTTTTTGGAACATTCTAAAACGTTCCAGAACATTTTTGAACTCTCTGTAACATTCCGAATAACTTAATTTCGAGTTGAAACTTTTTTTGGAACATTCCAGAACGTTCCAGAATTTTTTGAAACAATCTAAATTTTTTCCAACGAGTATTAAATTTGTTTTAACGAGTTCTGAGAATTTTTAAGAACATCTTAGAATTTTTTGGAACATTCTGAAATGTTCCAGAACATTTTTGAACTCTCTGCAACGTTCCGAACGATTTAATTTCGAGTTGAAACTTTTTTCTGGGACATTCTAAAATGTTTCAAAAAAAAGTTTCAACTCGAAATTAAGTTATTCGGAATTTTACAGAGTTCAAAAATGTTCTGGAACGTTTTAGAATGTTCCAAAAAATTTTGAAATGTTCTTAAAAATTCTCAGAACTCGTTGAAACAAATTTAATACTCGTTGGAAAAAATTTAGATTGTTTCAAAAAATTCTGGAACGTTCTAGAATGTTCCAAAAAAAAAGTTTCAACTCGAACTCGTTGAAACAAATTTAATACTCGTTGGAAAAAATTTAGATTGTTTCAAAAAAATTCTGGAACGTTCTAGAATGTTCCAAAAAAAAAAGTATGAACTCAAAATTACGTTGTTCGGAAAGCTGCAAAGAGTTGAAAAAATGTTTTGGAAGGTTCTAGAACGTTCAAAAAAATTTTAGAATGTTTCTGGAAATTTTTAGAAATCGTTGGAACAAATCAAAAACTCGTTCAAAAAAAATTTAGATTGTTTCAAAAAATTCTGGAACGCTCTAGAATGTTCCAAAAAAAAAAGTTTCAACTCGGAATTAAGTTGTTCGGAATGTTGTAAAATGTTTTGGAACGTTCTAAAATGTTTCAAAAAATTCTAGAATAATTCTAAAAATTCTTATAGTCGTTGGAACAAATTAAAAACTCGTTGAAAAAAATTTAGATTGTTTCAAAAAAATTTTGGAACATTCTAGAATGCTTCAAAAAAAAGTTTCAACTCGAAATTAGGTTGTTCGGAATGTTGCAAAATGTTTTGGAACGTACTAAAATGTTCCAAAAAATTGTAGAATAATTCTAAAAATTCTTAGAACAAATTAAAAACTCGTTGAAAAAAAATTTAGATTGTTTCAACAAAATTTTGGAACATTCTAGAATGGTTCAAAAAAAAGTTTCATCTCGAAATTACGTTGTTCGCAATGTTGCAAAATGTTTTGGAACGTTCTAAAATGTTCCAAAAAATTCTGAAATAATTCTAAAAATTCTTAAAGTCGTTGGAACAAATTAAAAACTCGTTGAAAAAAATTTAGATTGTTTCAAAAAAATTTTGGAACATTCTAGAATGGTTCAAAAAAAAGTTTCAACTCGAAATTACGTTGTTCGCAATGTTGCAAAATGTTTTGGAACGTTCTAAAATGTTCCAAAAAATTCTGAAATAATTCTAAAAATTCTTAAAGTCGTTGGAACAAATTAAAAACTCGTTGAAAAAAATTTAGATTGTTTCAAAAAAATTTTGGAACATTCTAGAATGCTTCAAAAAAAAGTTTCAACTCGAAATTAGGTTGTTCGGAATGTTGCAAAATGTTTTGGAACGTACTAAAATGTTCCAAAAAATTGTAGAATAATTCTAAAAATTCTTAGAACAAATTAAAAACTCGTTGAAAAAAATTTAGATTGTTTCAACAAAATTTTGGAACATTCTAGAATGGTTCAAAAAAAAGTTTCAACTCGAAATTACGTTGTTCGCAATGTTGCAAAATGTTTTGGAACGTTCTAAAATGTTCCAAAAAATTCTGAAATAATTCTAAAAATTCTTAAAGTCGTTGGAACAAATTAAAAACTCGTTGAAAAAAATTTAGATTGTTTCAAAAAAATTTTGGAACATTCTAGAATGCTTCAAAAAAAGTTTCAACTCGAAATTACGTTGTTCGCAATGTTGCAAAATGTTTTGGAATGTTCTAAAATGTTCCAAAAAATTCTGAAATAATTCTAAAAATTCTTAAAGTCGTTGGAACAAATTAAAAACTCGTTGAAAAAAATTTAGATTGTTTCAAAAAAATTTTGGAACATTCTAGAATGCTTCAAAAAAAAGTTTCAACTCGAAATTAGGTTGTTCGGAATGTTGCAAAATGTTTTGGAATGTTCTAAAATGTTCCAAAAAATTCTGAAATAATTCTAAAAATTCTTAAAGTCGTTGGAACAAATTAAAAACTCGTTGAAAAAAATTTAGATTGTTTCAAAAAAATTTTGGAACATTCTAGAATGCTTCAAAAAAAAGTTTCAACTCGAAATTAGGTTGTTCGGAATGTTGCAAAATGTTTTGGAATGTTCTAAAATGTTCCAAAAAATTCTAAGATAATTCTAAAAATTCTTAAAGTCGTTGGAACAAATTTAAAAAAAATTTAGGTTGTTTCAAATAATTCTGGAACATTCTGAATGTTCTAAAAAAAAAGTTTTAACTCGAAATTAAGTTGTTCGGAATGTTACAAAATGTTTTGGAATGTTCTAAAATGTTCCAAAAAATTCTAAGATAATTCTAAAAATTCTTAAAGTCGTTGGAACAAATTTAAAAAAAATTTAGGTTGTTTCAAATAATTCTGGAACATTCTGAATGTTCCAAAAAAAAAGTTTTAACTCGAAATTAAGTTGTTCGGAATGTTACAAAATGTTTTGGAATGTTCTAAAATGTTCCAAAAAATTCTAAGATAATTCTAAAAATTCTTAAAGTCGTTGGAACAAATTTAAAAAAAATTTAGGTTGTTTCAAATAATTCTGGAACATTCTGAATGTTCCAAAAAAAAAGTTTTAACTCGAAATTAAGTTGTTCGGAATGTTACAAAATGTTTTGGAACGTTCTAAAAATGTTCCAAAAAATTCTAAAATAATTCTAAAAATTCATAAAGTCGTTGGAACAAATTTAAAAAAAAATTTAGATTGTTTCAAATAATTCTGGAACATTCTAAATGTTCCAAAAAAAAGTTTCAACTCGAAATTAAGTTGTTCGGAATGCTGCAAAATATTTTGGAACGTTCTAAAATGTTCCAAAAAATTCTAAAATAAATTTAAATTTTTTTAAAGTCGTTGAAACTAATTGAAAACTCGTTTAAAAAAAAATTACAATGTTTCAAAAGATTTTGGAACATTCTAAAATGTGTTTCAAAATTAAATATAAATTCTTTTAACATTCAAAATTTAATAATATTTGAGTTGCTAAATATAGAGTCATTATCGACTCTAACCTGTCACCAACAAAAAAAAACATTACATTGCTCTATTCCTATTGAAAATCCGGAGCCAGAGCTCTATTTTGCCCTCTCGAAACTAGAGCGAATCGATAGGGAGGCGCTCTATGAAAACGCGACCGGAATTCGTTTAATAATCATCATCCCTCTCTCTAAGCATTTTAAGTATGTACAATTTTAGAGCCTCTATTGGTAAATAGAGCCTTGTGAAAATATACAGGGTGTGTCAAAATAATAATTGTTTTTCCAACGAGTTTCAAAAAATTCAAATTGGAACATTTCAACAAGTTTATAATTGTTCCAAAAAACATTCTAGAATGTTGAAACACGTATTTAAGAATTCCAAAGTCACTTACCTTTTTCATAAACGACATGACATTTGTGGGCAACATTTTTCTTGGATTGTTTCACGCACTAGTTAAACCATATTAGATCTGTAACAAAAAGTTTCAATCAGTCTTAATGATGTTTCAACGATATTGGAACATATGTTGAATTTTTTTTTGAGTATTTTATTATGTTTCAACAAATTTTTAAAGTGTTCCAACGAGTTTTATGATGTTCCAACGAGTGTTCCAACTCGTTGAAATTTGTTCCAACTTTTTTAACGATTTTTTTATGATGTTTCAACAAGTTTTTAAAGTGTTCCAACGAGTTTTTATGATGTTCCAAAAATTTTATAATGTTCCAACACTCGCTGAAATTTAATCAAATTTTTTTTTAGAATATTTTAACGATTTTTTAAAGTTGTTTCAACAAGTTTTTGAAACGTTTCAACGAGTTTTTATGATGTTCCAACGATTTTATAATGTTGAAACACTCGCTGAAATTTATTCAAATTTTTTTTTAGATTATTTTAATGATGTTTTAACAAGTTTTTGAAACGTTCCAACGAGTGTTTATGATGTTCCAACGAGTTTGAAATGTTTCAAAAAAAATTGAACTGACTCATAAAAAAATTTCTGAGCCAAATCGTTATTCAATGAAGGAATATTGGATCAATCTGAGAAACAATTTTCCTAATCAACTTCTAGAATATTCCGGAAACTAATATAGAGGCCTCCTCATACATCAATTAGACAAAACTTACTTTCAAAAAATTTTCCCCTGTGAAAAACACAAAGTCGAACCCGGATTTTTCCCGAGAAAAACGAAAATTTTCCGGGTTTTCACGGCGGCGTCCCCGGAGTGTAACAAGTAGGCGTCGGGACGGACGACGTCCCGGGACGGGATTGGAAAATCGGCGGCGCGCACGCGCATTTTCCCGATCGAAACTCTCTTGTGCATAAATTTCGTGGAAACGATAAAGCATCTGCGGTGACGTCATCATTGTATTTCGGGCATCATTCTTGCTCAAATTGCAGATTTCTGTAATAATGGAAGGTTTAGAATGAAAATTGCAGAAATCTGTAATTTATGAATTGATTAAAAGAAAATTATTCCTTGCGCCATCTATCAACGAGCGGCCAAAGCTGCCAATTACAGAATCCTGTAATAATAATTATTTGATTTTAATGCAAAATCGCTAGAGGTTGAAACTGCAAATTACAGATTCCTGTAATGCAAGAAAACTTAAACTTAATCAAAGATGGTTCAGGATTGGTTGGAAATAAAAAACAAAATGGCGCCGAATTTTTTGAAAAATAATTAAAAATTTATTTAAAAAATAATAAAAAATACAAAAAAATTATAAAAAGAAAAAACAATAATCATTTTTGCTTTATATATATACTTTGTTTATATATGTACTTTTGTTCTATAATTATATAATAAAAATAGCAGCTAACTAACGTGACGTCATCACTCCGAAAACGTGACGTCATAAGTGATTATTATATACAAAAAAAATAATATATATTTGGTAACTTTTCACAAAAAAAAAAAAGTTTGTGAATTTTTATTATTATATAAAATTGTGTATATGTATACCTTATATACAGGGTGTGCATTATATAATTTTTTTTTTGTCACACCCTGTATACATACATCAACAAATAACAATATATAATAATTAATAAATTAAATATATTATATACCTATATATAAAAAAAAATGGCGATTCTAGAATTATTTATTTACTATATATATGTACAAATTATATATAAAAAAAATGGAATGCATTATATAATACATATACATAATAATATGGGGCAAAATCACAAAATATAAAATATATAAAGCCAAAAAAAAAATACTTAGTACGGACTTGATCACTGGGGGGTACTTAAATAATTATTATATATTTATATATAAATAAGTGTGACGTCATAAGTCTGTATCTAAACAGAGAATTTTTTGTTTTGTTTTTGAGTCAAAATGTAATTTCTGAGTCAAAATGTAATTTCTGAGTCATAGTGAAATTTTTGAGTCAAAGTGAAATTTCTGAGTCAAAATGTATTTTTTGAGTTACTATGTATTTTTTGAGTGAAAATGAAATTTCTGAGTCAAAATGAAATTTCTGAGTCAAAATATAAATTTTGAGTTAAATTGTAATTTCTCAGTCAAACTGAAATTTCTGAGTCAAAATTTAATTATTGATTCCAAGTGTAATTTCTGAATGGAAATGAATTTTCTGAGTCGAAATGTATTTTCTGAGCAATTATGTATTTCTGAGTCAGAAATAATTTCTGGTATAATTTTAGTTTTCAAATAATCTCGAATTTTTCTGACATCTCCTTATCACTCTTCTCGAGGGTTACATAGTCATAATGACAGCTGTCAATTTTTTTGACAGGTGCAAAAATTTTTAAAAAATATTTTATATATATTAAAACTTTTAAAAAACGTAATTTTGAAAAATTCCAAAAATTAAAAAAAATAAAAAATTTGACAGATGTCAAATGTCAAACTTGATATCGACTAAGTCGACTGGCAGGAATCGAACGCACTTTATATCGAATTTTTCTGACATCTCCTTGTCACTTTTTTCGAGGGTTACATAGTCAAAATGACAGCTGTCAATTTTTTTGACAGGTGCAAAAATTTAAAAAAAATATTTTACATTTATTAAAACTTTCAAAAAATGTAATTTTGAAAAATTCCAAAAATTGAAAAAAAAAAAATTTGACAGATGTCAAATGTCAAAAACTTGATATCGACTAAGGCGACTGGCAGGAATCGAACGCACTTTATATCGAATTTTTCTGACATCTCCCTGTCACTTTTTTCGAGGGATACATAGTCAAAATGACAGCTGTCAATTTTTTTGACAGGTGCAAAAATTAAAAAAAAATATTTTACATATATTTAAAATTTTTAAAAAACGTAATTTTGAAAAATTCCAAAAATTAAAAAAAATTATAAATTTGACAGATGTCAAATGTCAAACTTGATATTGACTAAGTCGACTGGCAGGAATCGCACGCACTTTATATTGAATTTTTCTGACATCTCCTTGTCACTTTTTTCGAGGGTTACATAGTCAAAATGACAGCTGTCAATTTTTTTGACAGGTGCAAAAATTTTAAAAAAATATTTTACATTTATTAAAACTTTCAAAAAACGTAATTTTGAAAAATTCCAAAAATTGAAAAAAAAAAAAAATTTGACAGATGTCAAATGTCAAAAATTTGATATCGACTAAGTCGACTGGCAGGAATCGAACGCAATTTATATCGAATTTTTCTGACATCTCCCTGTCACTTTTTTCGAGGGTTACATAGTCAAAATGACAACTGTCAATTTTTTTGACAGGTGCAAAAATTTAAAAAAAATATTCTACATATATTAAAACTTTTACAAAATGTAATTTTGAAAAATTCCAAAAATTAAAAAAAATTAAAAATTTGACAGATGTCAAATGTCAAACTTGATATCGACTAAGTCGACTGGCAGGAATCGCACGCACTTTATATCGAATTTTTCTGACATCTCCATGTCACTTTTTTCGAGGGTTACATAGTCAAAAATGACAGCTGTCAATTTTTTTGACAGGTGCAAAAATTTAAAAAAAATATTTTACATATATTAAAACTTTTACAAAATGTAATTTTGAAAAATTCCAAAAATTAAAAAAAATAAAAAATTTGACAGATGTCAAATGTCAAACTTGATATCGACCAAATCGACTGGCAGGAATCGAACGCAATTTATATAGAATTTTTCTGACATCTTGTCACTTTTTTCGAGGGTTACATAGTCAAAAATGACAGCTGTCAATTTTTTTGACAGGTGCAAAAATTTAAAAAAAATATTTTACATATATTAAAACTTTTACAAAATGTAATTTTGAAAAATTCCAAAAATTAAAAAAAATAAAAAATTTGACAGATGTCAAATGTCAAACTTGATATCGACTAAGTCGACTGGCAGGAATTGCACGCACTTTATATCGAATTTTTCTGACATCTCCTTGTCACTTTTTTCGAGGGTTACATAGTCAAAAATGACAGCTGTCAATTTTTTTGACAGGTGCAAAAATTTAAAAAAAATATTTTACATATATTAAAACTTTTACAAAATGTAATTTTGAAAAATTCCAAAAATTAAAAAAAATAAAAAATTTGACAGATGTCAAATGTCAAACTTGATATCGACTAAGTCGACTGGCAGGAATCGCACGCACTTCATATCGAATTTTTCTGACATCTCCTTGTCACTTTTTTCGAGGGTTACATAGTCAAAAATGACAGCTGTCAATTTTTTTGACAGGTGCAAAAATTTTTAAAAAATATTTTACATATATTAAAATTTTTACAAAATGTAATTTTGAAAAATTCCAAAAATTAAAAAAAATAAAAAATTTGACAGATGTCAAATGTCAAACTTGATATTGACTAAGTCGACTGGCAGGAATCGCACGCACTTTATATCGAATTTTTCTGACATCTCCTTGTCACTTTTTCCGAGGGTAACATAATCAAAATGACAGTTGTCAATTTTTTTGACAGGTGCAAAATTCAAAAAAAATATTTTACATATATTAAAACTTGAAAAACGTAATTTTGAAAAATTTCCAAGTGTACTTTCTGAATGGAAATTAATTTTCTGAGTCAAAATGTATTTTCTGAGCAATTATGTATTTCTGAGTCAGAAATAATTTCTGGTATAATTTTGGTTTTCAATTGATGAATCTTGCTGTCGACTCGGAAAATACATTTTCACTCAGAAAATACATTTTCACTCAGAAAATACATTTTCACTCAGAAAATACATTTTCACTCAGAAAATACATTTTCACTCAGAAAATACATTTAGACTCAGAAAATTAATTTCCACCCAGAAAGTACTTGAAATCAAAAACTACATATTAACTCAGAAATTACATTGTGACTCAGAAATTACATTTCGACTCAGAAATTACATTTCGACTCAGAAATTACATTTCGACTCAGAAATTACTTTCAACTCAAAAATTATATTTTGACTCAAAAAATTACATATTAACCCAAAAATGACACAGTAGTTCAGAAATTACATTTTGACTCAGAAATTACATTGCGACTCAGAAATTACATCTCGACTCAAAAATTACATTTTATCTCAAAAATTTTATTTTAACTCAAAAATTACATAATAACTCAGAAATTACATTTTGACTCAGAAATTACATTTCGACTCAGAAGTTACATCTTGACTCAAAAATTACATTTCATCTCAAAAATTATATTTTAACTCAAAAATTACATAATAACTCAGAAATGACATAATAACTCAGAAATTACATAGTGACTTAGAAATTACATTTCGACTCAGAAAATAGATTTCAACACAAAAATGATGTTTTGACTCAAAAAATTACATATTAACTCAAAAATTACATAGTAACTCAGATATCACATTTCGACTCAGAAATTACATCTCGACCCAAAAATTACATTTTATCTCAAAAATTATATTTTAACTCAAAAATTACATAATAACTCAGAAATTACATTTTGACTCAGAAATTACACTTCGACTCAGAAGTTACATCTCGACTCAAAAATTACATTTTATCTCAAAAATTATATTTTAACTCAAAAATTACATAATACCTCAGTAATTACATTTTGACTCAGAAATTACATTTTGAATCAGAAATTAAATTTTGACTCAGAAATTACATTGCGACTCAGAAATTACATTTCGACTCAGAAATTACATTTCGACTCAGAAATTACATTTCCACAGAAAAACATTCCACAATAAATAAAATTAAATTCAATTCCAAAAACAAAAGTTTGTTTAGATACAAACAACAACCACAGCAAGTGACGTCATCATCACTCTAAAAAACGCGTGACGTCATCATAAGTACACTCAAATCAATCTGAAAGCGCTTAAAAACCTAAAAAATATATGTCACCTCTTTTTCAATTATTGAGATCGCATTGTTATTAAGGCACAAAAAAAAATAAATAAATAAAAATTGTTCTATTATAGGCGATTTCATTTTGACGTTTTCGGCAAGTGACGTTTCATGTGGAGCGCCAAGTGATCGGAGCGAGCGAAAGAGCGCTCGCACACTCCGCATTTGAACGGTTTCGCTCCGGTGTGTTTCCGGTAGTGGCGAGTCAACTCGTCCGAGCGGGCGAACCTCCACTCGCACTCGGGCCATTGACATTGGTAGGGTTTTTCGCCTGGAAAAAAATCGAGAATGTATCGATATTTGTCGATAGTTTTGGGAAAATATCGATATTTCGTTGGGAAATATCGTCGAGAAGTTGTATCGATATTTCGATGCGTCTACTTTTTGTAAAAAATATCGATATTTGGTTGAAAAATACCGATATTATCAAATGAGGCATTTATCGAGAAAAAATATCGATATCGATATTCTGAACTACTAACCTGTATGGATCCGTTGGTGGGCTTTGAGGTGGGAACTTTTCGTGTAAACTTTCGAACAACCTGAAAATAAAATAAAAATATAAGTAGGTACGTCACTGATTTGGAAAATTATAAACATGTCAAAATGACAGAAATATTTGAATTTTCTTGTATTATATTACTCATTGTTATGTTAATGAGTTCTACATCGACTTGTGTCCGCTATGACGCATTTTCAAGAGCGGACACCGGTGTCCGCTGGGGGGTGTAAATCGCAAAATTCTCATCTTATTAATGAATCGTTTAAAAACAGTCATTGTGTCCGCCATGGTACCGTTTTTAAAACGGACACCGGTGTCCGCCAAATAAAAAACCATCCATGTCCGCTCTGACACATATTCAAGAGCGGACACCGGTGTCCGCCGTATTCTAAATTGCGAAATTTTCACCTAAAAAATCATAATTCCCTCATAAAATCATTTAAAAACGCTCATCGGGTAGATATCGGTGTCCGCCAAATTCGAAAATCGACCTTATCTCCTATTGTGTCCGCCATAAAGTGGCTTTTAGGAACGGCCATTAATGTCCGCCAATTTTGGATATCATCATTACCCGCTACGGAGCGGTTTTGGGAGCAGACACCGGTGTCCGCCAAATTTGAATATCAATAATATATTTTTAAGAGCGGATACCGTTGTCCGCCAAATTTGAAAATCACTAATATTCGCTATGGAGCGGTTTCCAGAAGCGGACATTGGTGTCCGCCAAGTTTGAAAATCGTTAATATTCGCTAACGGTGTCCGCCAAATTTCGTTAAAATAATCTTGTTAAAACTGTCGAAATAATAGCCTTTGACAGATGTCAATTTTGTAACATCGTACTGTCAAATTTTATGACAACTGTCAAAATTACATTTTGTCGTTAATTTAACAAAGTGACGTATCTCGTATTCAGGGTTTTTTTGCTGAGATAAGCGACTTTCTGAAATTAACGAAGATTTGACAGATGTCAGTTTAATTTGACAAAAAATTTATGACACCTGTCAAAAACTTTCGATACATTTTTATCGGCTGTCAAAATTTAATTTGAAGGTTGAAGATTGTAAAAAAATTTAACATCTGCCAAATGTAATTATGTTGACAGTTGAATGTCATTTAATTTGGAGTATTTTAAACAGAAAAATCGTCTAAATTTAATTATAAGACATTTGAGGATTGTAAAAAAAAATTGACATCATCTGTCAAATGTCATTATTTTGACAGTTAAATATCATTTAATGTTCATTCAAATTAGAGTTTTTGTAACAGAAAAATCATAACTTTTGTATCAGCTGTCAAAATTTAGTTTGACAGTTGAAAATTAAAAAAAAAAAATTGACGCCTGTCAAATATCATTATATTGACAGTTAAATATGATTTGATGTTTATTCAAACTGGATTTTTTTGTAACAGAAAAATAGCAGTTCCTGTATCAACTGTCAAAATTTAATTTGACATTTGTGTCTAATGTCATTATTTTGACAATTAAATATTATTTTGTTATCCATTTAAATTGAAATTTTTGTAACAGAAAAATCGAAACTGTCAAAATTTAACTTGACAGTTACAGATTGTTAAAAAAATTGACACCTGCCAAATGTCATTAATTTGACAGTTAACTACAATTTAATTGCAATTTGTGACAGAAAAATCGTAATTATTTACTATGAAGTGGTTTTTCATAGCGGACACCAATGTTCGCCATATTCAAAAACACCATTATTTGCTATGGAGCGGTTTTTCATAGTGGACACCAGTGTCCGCCATATTTAAATTCACTATTATTCGCTATAGAGCGGTTTTTAATAGCGGACACCGGTGTCCGTCAATTTTCAAACCCGTTTTTATTCTCGATGGAGCGGATACCGGTGTCCTCCATGTTTGAAAATCAGTATTGTCTGCTATGAAGTGATTTTTAAGAGCGGACACCAGTGTCCGCCATATTTAAAAGTCACTATTATTCGCTATGGAGCGGTTTTTCATAGTGAACACTGGTGTCCGCCATAATTAAAACCACTATTATTCGCTATAGAGCGGTTTTGCATAGCGGACACCGGTGTCCGTCAATTCATAAACTCATTTTTATTTCATATAAAGCGGACACCAGTGTCCGCCATATTAAAAAATCACTATTATTCGCTATAGAGCGGTTTTTCATAGCGGACACCGGTGTCCGTCAATTTTTAAACCCACTTTTATTCTTTATGTAGCGGGTACCGGTGCCCTTTAAGTTTGAAAATCAGTATTACCCGCTATGAAGTGATTTTTAAGAGCGGACACCAGTGTCCGCCATATTCTAAAATCACTATTATTCACTATGGAGCGGTTTTTCATAGCGGACACCAGTGTCCGTTATATTTAAAAATCACTATTATTCGCTATGGAGCAATCTTTCATAGCGGACACCAGTGTCCGCCATATTTAAATTCATTATAATTCGCTATAGAGCGGTTTTTCACAGCTTACACCGGTGTCCGTCAATTTTCAAACCCATTTTTATTCTCGATGGAATGGATACCGGTGTCCTCCAAGTTTGAAAATTAGTATTATCCGCTATGAAGTGATTTTCAAGAGTCCGCTATATTTTAAAATCACTATTATTCGCTGCGGAGCGGTTTTTCACGGCGGACACCGGTGTCCGCCATATCTTTAAATCACTATTTTTCGCTATAGAGTGAGTTAATGGCGGACACCGGTGTCCGCTATAGGTTAAAATCACTATTATTCACCATGGAGCGGTTTTTCGTGGCGGGCACCGGTGTCCGCCACATTCTAAATCCTAAATTCTCACCTATAAAATCACAATGATGTATCCGCCGCTTCTCCAACTCCGGATTGTTCCGTCTATTGTACGCCTTCACTCCGGACAGCCGGGGCACGGTACTGGAAGGCGGCGGGTTCTGGCCGGGACCGTGGTAGGGGGGCGGCGGTGTCCGCCGCGGCAGCGAACCACCCGGCGATCCGGGTTCGGAACTGGGCGGAGTCAACGGTGACACGTACATTAATCTTGACATCGCCGGATACACGTTTTGGTTCGTACTTGTAGTGTTGTTGTTGTTGTTGTATTTGTACTGGTTGTGGATGGTGGGGGGTGGTTGTTGGGGGTGGTAGTGAGGACTTGTAGGTTGCTGGGGGTGGTAGTGGGGGCTGGTGGGCGTGCCCATTAGGTGGAGCGTCGGCGCTGGGGGCGGTTGTAATACCTGTAATCGATTTTAACTCTTTTTATCCCATTGAAAAAGACAAAGACAACAATACCTTTTCGGTTTTAATTTCTAATGGCGATAGTAATGGCGAAGGAGCGGGTTGACAGTTGTTGCTCAGCTCGTCAACCGTCTCCATTTTGACGAGCATGTTTGCGTTTTCCGGATCGATGTTTTGAATACTGCTGGCGATGTCTTCCCATAGTGGAGGCCTGCAAGAAAAAAAATCACCTGTCAAAAAATTTGACAGCTGTCATTTTGACTATGTTAGCCTCGGAAAAAGTGACAAGGAGATGTCAGAAAAATTCGAAATAAAGTGCGTTCGATTCCTGCCAGCTGACTTAGTCGATATCAAGTTTGACATTTGACATCTGTCAAAAAAAAATTTTTGGAATTTTTCAAAATTACGTTTTTTAAAAGTTTTAATGTATGTAAAATATTTTTTAAAATTTTTTTCACCTGTCAAAAAAATTGACAGCTGTCATTTTGACTATGTTATCCTCGGAAAAAGTGACAAGGAGATGTCGGAAAAATTCGAGATAAAGTGCGTTCGATTCCTGCCAGTCGACTTAGTCGATATCAAGTTTGACATTTGACACCTGTCAATTTTTTTTGTTTCTTGAAATTTTTGGAATTTTTCAAAATTTCGTTTTTTAAAAGTCCTTCACCATCTTAAGCGGTATATGTGTAAAAAAATTGTCACCTGTCAACTGTCAAAAGTCTCACTTATAACAAATAATGCAATGTTGCCAATAATTACATCGATTCTTCTCAAATTTCAATGGAAATTGTCCATTGAAAAAACAATGTTGCAACGTCGCATTTCGTCTATACGGAAAACTATTTCGCAACTAGGATAATAATTATTTTGTGGTTGACCTTTAATCGAAAACGCAATTTTCCGCATTATAATAATTCAATTAATCTTTCGATAATAGTGCGTGTAAACCCTGATTTCCGTCTAGACTCATTGAAAGTGCGTTTATTATAATCGATAAAAATCTAGGATATGACCTTTAAATAAATTTGTATTTATTTTATTTGTACGAGAAATTGCAGGCAATTACGTCATTACTGGTTCAGAAATTTGAAATTTGTTTGGGTAAAAATAACATAAAAATGCAGCGTTTATAAAGTATCAATTAATCGCAGACAATGACGTCATTACTGGTTCAAAAATTTGATATTTTAATTATTAGAAATTACATAGAGATGTTTGTTTTGATACAATGACGTGATTACTGGTTCAAAATATGTTTGTTTTAATACAATGACGTCATTACTGGTTCAAAATTTGTACAAATTTGTATCGATTTTTACCTGAGAAAAACGTCATCGTCGGTGCCTGGTAAAGATCGCATCGATACGTAACTCATTGTCTGCTGCGCAATACGCTGAGGCGCAGCCGGTTCGAAAAAGTCGTCCAATTGGGACGCGGAATCGCGACGCGGTTTGTCCAATTCCTCTTCGAGTCGCCGCTCCCATTCTTGTTTGCAAAGAAACGTGTCCAGGTCGCTGGTCTGCAAAAAAAAAGAAAAACCTTCTGAGCAAGGATAATACACACTATTACTATAGGATGGCCTTTCTCTATACTTATAAGGCCTGTGTGAAAACAAATCTCCCTAGTCAAATCACCAGTTGTGACGTAGGTGTTAATGGAGTTTTGTTTTTTTTCCAGAAAATATGCAGCTGAAATGGACGCCACTGGGAAATCGGGAAACAAGATCATACAGACTCGGTAAGTACCAGTTACTTGTTTTATTATTGAGGTGAAGGTGCGCATTTTTGCAACTTGAAAATTTCGGTACGCCTATGGATTTATTAGCTCCGCCCCTTTGTTTACTAGCCATTAGGTTTATAAATGGGCGGAGCCTTGCATACCATAGACGTGACAGGTTTTTTTTTTCATTGACATTTTTGACAGTTTTTTTTTTTATTTATTAACATATTTGACAGTTTTTTTTTTAAATTTATTGACAATCTTTCCGTCATTTGAGATTTTTGACATATTTTGACAATTTTTTTCCCTATTAGTTAACATTTTTGACAGATTTTTCAACATTTTGACAATTATTAGTATGTTGACATTTAACAATTGTTTTTTTTGTTAACATTTGACACTCTTGACAGTTTTTGATTATTAACATTTTTGACGTTTTTCAATTTATTGACACCTAACACTTTTGACAGTTTTTATATTTATTGACATTGATAATTTGGAAATTTGTATGTAGCAACACAAATTTTTCATTTTGTTTCTATTACCGGCTCTTGAATTTGAAATTTGAAGGTTGTAGCAACAATAATTTTTTGTAGCAACAATTGTTATTTTGGAAATTTGTATGTAGCAACACAGATTTTTCAATTTGTTTTTATTAGCGGCTTTTGAATTCAAAAAATGGAGGTTATAGCAACATGAAATTTTTTGTAGCAACACAATTTTTCTGTAGCAACACCCAAACTTAATGGCAGAATTTGTTTATTTTGATGTAGCAACATGTGGGCGACATTTCAAAGTTGTAGCAACACAATTTCTTGTAGCAACAATCGATTTTGACCGTATAATTTGAAAATTTCCATTAATAGCGACAAAGTGTATTGCTACACTGTAGCAACACTCAAATTTGGGCGATTTTGGGCCTTCTTGGCTTGTAGCAACATTTTTTCAGTTGCAGCTACATGAAAAATTTTGTAGCAACACTGAATTTTTTGTAGCAACACCCAAATTTGATAGCATAATTTGTTTATTTTGATGTAGCAACATGTGGGCGATATTTCAAAGTTGTAGCAACACACATTTTTGTAGTAACAATCAATTCTGACCGTATAATTTGAAAATTTCCATTAATAGCGACAAAGTGTATTGCTACACTTTGTCGCTATTAACGAATCCTAAAAGTAAATGTTAAAGTTGTAGCAACACGAATTTTTCTGTAGCAACACTAAATTAGGACGATTTCGGGCTTTTTTGGCTCGTAGCAACATTTTTCCAGTTGTAGCAACATGAAAATTTTTGTAGCAACATTAATTTTTTTGTAGCAACAATCAAATTTGACATAATAATTAGCACATTATGATGTAGGCGAAATTTCGAAGTTGTAGCAACAAAACTTTTTTGTAGCAACAATCAATAATTTGGAAATTTGTATGTAGCAACACAGATTTTTCAATTTGTTATTATTACCGGCTCTTGAATTCGAAATTTTAGGATTGTAGCAACACGATTTTTTTGTAGCAACACAAATTTGTTCATAGCAACATCCAAATTTAATAGCAAAAATTGTGTATTTTGATGTAGCAACATGTGGGTGATATTTCAAAGTTGTAGCAACACAAATTCTTATAGCAACAATCGATTTTGACCGTATATTTTGAAAACTTCTTTGTAGCAACACACTTTGTCGCTATTAATGACTCCTAAAAGTAAATTTTGAAGTTCTAGCAACACGAATTTTTCTGTAGCATCACAAATTTGTTCATAGTGATACCCGGGCTTTTTTGGCTTGTAGCAATATTTTTCAGTAGTAGCAACATGAACATTTTTGTAGCAACACTAAATTTTTTGTAGCAACATTTAAATTTGACATAATAATTAGTACATTATGATGTAGGTATATTAATAATCTGGAAATTTGTATGTAGCAACATAGATTTTTCAATTTGTTTTTATTATCGGGTCTTGAATTCAAAAATGGAGGTTATAGCAACATGAATTTTTTGTAGCAACACATTTTTTTTGTAGTAACACCCAAATTTAATGGCAAAATTTGATTATTCCGATGTAGCAACATGTGGGCGATATTTCAAAGTTGTAGGAACACAATTTCTTGTAGCAACAATCGATTGTGACCGTATAATTTGAAAATATCCATGTAGCAACACACTTGGTCGCTAATAACGACTCCCTAAAAGTAAATTTTGAAGTTGTAGCAACACGAGTTTTCTGTAGCAACACTCAAATTTGGGCAATTTCGGGCCTTTTTGGCTTGTAGCAACATTTTCCAGTTGTACTAACACGAAAATTTTTGTAGCAACACTAAATTTTTTGTAGCAACTCCCAAATTTGATAGCGCAATTTGTTTATTTTGATGTAGCAACACGTGGGCAATATTTCAAAGTAGTAGCAACACAATTTTTTGTAGTAACAATCAATTTTAGCCGTATAATTTGAAAATTTCCATGTAGCAATTTGTTGTTATTAACGACTCCTAAAAGTAAATTTTGAAGTTGCAGCATCACGAATTTTTCTGTAGCAACACTCAAACTTGGGCGATTTTGGGCTTTTTTGACTTGTAGCAACATATTTTTTTTGGTGTTGTAATATGAAAATTTCCGTAACAACACTAAATTTTTTGTAGTAACATCCAAATTTAACAAAATAATCAGAACATTATGATGTAGGCATATTGATATTTTGAAAATTTCCATGTAGCAACACTCTTTGTTGCTTTTAATGACTCCTAAAAGTAAATTTTAAAGTTGTAGCAACACGAAATTTTCTGTAGCAACACTCAAATTATGGCGATTTAGGGCGATTTTGGGCTTTTTTGGTTTGTAGCAACATTTTTTAGTTGAAACAACATGCAAATTTTTGTAGCAACATCAAATTTTTTATAGCAACACCCAAATTTGACATAATTTGTTTAATTTGATGTAGCAACATGTGGGCGATATTTTAAAGTTGTAGCAACATAAATTTTTGTAGCAATAATCAATTGTGACCGTATAATTTGAAAATATCCATGTAGCAACACACTTTGCGGCTAATAACGACTCCCTAAAAGTAAATTTTGAAGTTGTAGCAACACGATTTTTCTGTAGCAACACTCAAATTTGGGCAATTCCGGGCCTTTTTGGCTTGCAGCAACATTTTCCAGTTGTAGCAACATCAAATTTGTTGTAGCAACACTAATTTTTTTGTAGCAACATCCAAATTTGACATAATAATTAGCATAATATGATGTAGGTATATTGATAATATGGAAATTTGTATGTAGCGACACAGATTTTTCAATTACCGGCTCTTAAATTCGAAATTTTAGAGTTGTAGCAACACGAAATCTTTTGTAGCAACATAAATGTGTTCGTAGCAACACCCAAATTAAATGGCAAAATTTGAATATTTCGATGTAGCAACATGTGGGCGATATTTCAAAGTTGTAGCAACACAAATTTTTGTAGCAGCAATCGATTTTAACCGTATATTTTGAAAATTTCCATGTAGCAACACACTTTGTCGTTATTAATGATTCCTAAAAGAAAATTTTAAAGTTGTAGCAACACGAATGTTTCTGTAGTAACACTCAAATTTGGGTGATTTAGGGTTTTTTGGTTTGTAGTAACATTTTTTAGTTGTACGAATATTTCTGTAGCAGCACCAAATTTTTTGTAGTAACATTCAAATTTGACAAAATAATTAACATTTTATAATGTAGAGTTGTAGCAACAAAATTTTCTTGTAACAACAATCGATAATCTGGAAATGTATATGTAGCAACATAGATTTTTCAAGTTTTCACTATTACCGATTAGTAATATCAGGGTTGTAGCAACATGGAATTTTTGGTAGCAATATGATTTTTTCTGTAGCAACACGATTGTTTTTCTAGCAACATTAAAATTTGACAGTATAATTCGTACATTTTGATTCAAACGAGATTTCAAAGTTGTAATAACAAACATTTCTTGTAGCAACAATCAATAATTAGGTAATTTGTGTGTAGCAACTTATATTTTTCGATATGTTACTATTGCCGGTTTTTGAATTTGAAATTTCGAGTATGTAGCAACAAGAATTTTTTTGTAGCAACATCCTAATTTGACATAAAAACTAAAAAGTAACCTTCAAATGTAGACAATTTTGGTTTGTAGCAACACCTTTCTCAGTTGTAGCAACATGAAAATTTTTGTAGCAACATTATTTTTTTGTAGCAACATTCAAATCTGGGCGACATCGGTCTTTTTTGGCTTGTGGCAACATTTTTTCAGTTGCAGCAACATGAAAAATTTTGTAGCAACACTAAATTTTTTGTAGCATCATTCAAATTTGACATAATAATTAGCAAATTATGATGTATGTATATCGATAATCTGGAAATTTGTATGTAGCGACACAGAATTTTTAATTTGTCACTATTACCGGCTTTCGAAATCAAAATTTTAGGGTTGTAGCAACACGAAATTTTTTGTAGCGACACAAATTTGTTCGTAGCAACACTCAAATTTCATAGCAAAATTTGTTTATTTTGATGTAGCAACATGTGGGCGAAATTTGAAAGTTGTAGCAACACAAATTCTTGTAGCAACAATCGATTTTGATTGTAAAATTTCCGTGTAGCAACACACTTTGTTGCTATTAACAACTCCTAAAAGTAAATTTTGAAGTTGTAGCAACATGAATTTTTCTATTTTTTCTGTAGCAACATTCAAATCTGGGTGATTTTGTCTTTTTTGGCTTGTAGTAACATTTTTCCAGTTGTAGCAACATGAAAACTTTTGTAGCAACACTAAATTTTTTATA